AAACATATAAATATAAAAAGATAACCTAATATCATAATTAAAGTGTCATGAGATAGAATATACATTAAAACATTATGTCCTAATATCATACATGGATAAAGGACATTAGAAAATACATTGCAAAATATAAGTAAGTAAGCTAAAATAACTACGGTTCTTGAATGGAACATAATTTTTTACATGCTTCATCCCAAGACTTTTTTGTAAATGTAAGACGACCATTAGCAAAAATCTTTGTAATAGTTTCAGAAGACTCAGTAGGTGTAGAGGATGGGTTTGACGCGCTTTCTGATCGGTAACAATTTGGGCAAACTTTTGCAGTATGACCCTCACGGTTACACAGTTGACAAGTTACTTTATATCGTTGCGGGCATATAGTAGCAACATGTCCAGAAATATCACATATTTGGCAAACAACATTGTCTTCATTTTTAGGCAATGGAATGTCTTGGGGGATTGCAATATGATTCCTTGATGTTGTCAACTTCTTCCTTAGAAAACTCCGAGATAGACAATCCCATAATGATTCAAGAGTATCCTCAACAATTCCTATGTAAATTAACATAAAATTAATATGTTAGTAAATGGTATGCATCAACATGAAATAAAAAATTATGAGAGGGAAAAGGAAAAAAAAAATTATACCATCATATTAGCTGTCAATGTATGGTTGACTGTCCAATTGGCTGTCAAAATAGGGTTGACTGTCCATTTGGCTGTCAAAATAGGGTTGACTGTCCATTTGGCTGTCAAAATAGGATTGACTGTCCATTTGGTTGTCAAAGTTTGGTTGATTGTCCATTTGGCTGTCAAAGTTTGGTTGATTGTCCATTTGGCTGTCAAAGTAAAATTGATTATCCATTTTACTCTCAAAGTAATCTTGACTGTTCATTTTGCTTTAAAAATAATCTTAACTATCTATTTAGCACATAATAACTTTATAATCAACTAATTAATTAAATTAATCATAGTTTACTTACTAATTAAATATGTAATTATGATTTAATTAATCAATCAACTATAATCATTATAATTAATTATGATTTAATTAATCAATCAACTATAATCATTATAATTAATTATGATTTAACTAACAATGTAATTAATTATAATTTACTCCACAATTAAAGCATATAATCATAATTCTCTACTCAATCAATTAATTAATTAAAAAATCAATATTTATCAATCAAGTAAATATTTTTTTCATAATTTTATAATGTATTTGATATATAAAAATTCAATATAAATATCATTTTAGTTCAATAATAATGCACATCTCAATTAATCTCAATTAATCTCAATATCAATTTCTTAATCAAGCTAATTTGAAATAAATAACAAATTGACAACCATAAAAACTCAACATTAATATCACTCTACTGCAATAACCATAGATATTTAAACATCAATTTCAATATCAATCTCAACCTTAACCTCAAACACAATAATTCAAAATTTCTAACTTTATATATACAAATTTACTAAAAACAACTCTTCAACTAAGTACAAATCTCGCACTTGGGCCTTCGGGCCAAGCAACCTTAGGGCTGCCTTGCAGTGCATTTACCCCTCCCCCATGGTGGGTTCGATACCCACCCTTGTAAACTTGGTCAAAAAAAAATAATAATAAGTACAAATCTTAATCTAAAAAACTTGAAAAAAAAATAATTGTAATTCACTGATAATTCTAGCAATAATCTATACTAATCTACAAATAATAAAATAGTATATTTATGTAAAAAAAAAACCCCAAAAATCCCAATTACCTCTGCAGTGGGGAAGTTGATGCTGCGGGACCAATAAAAGCTGGATTTCAACCTACAAAAAACGAAAAATGGGGTATTGTAAACCCAAATCCAAGGAAAAAACAAGTAAAACCAAAAAAAAAAAAAACTGTGCTGCAGCTTCTCCAGGAACCCTCTTCCATGTGGTGTGGTTGCTTAGAGACGCTGGAGGCTGAACCAAGAGAGGGGTGAACTCACCGGCACTGGCGTGGAGCAGAGAACAGGGGGCGCTACGGAAGAACAGCGACAGCAAGCTTCGCCGGAGAAGAAACCAGATCTACCGCCGTAGAGGGAAAAGCAGAAATGGGGAAGAAATGAGATGCGGGTGTGATATGAAGCAGTATATTCGACAGCCAAAGTTGCCGAATATACAGAGGAAACGATGTCGTTGCCAACCATACTGGCGCCGATTATGTTGCCATTCATATTCGACAGAAAATTTCTGACGAATAAACACATTCGTCAGACATTTTCTGTCGAATATCTTGATATTTCGACAAAAAAGTTACCAAATATAAAGACTATCGATTAAACAAGAAGTTTCCATTATCATCGTCAATCTTACATCTTCATTGATCTTTCTGTCGATTATGTACACATTTTCGACAGAAATATGGCTGTCGAATATAATATTGTCGCATGTGCTGCGTTTTCCAGTAGTGTGCCTTCACTTCATTTTTCGGTGTTTTATATCTAATAATCTTTTCTTCAAAAAATGGATTTCTGGTAGAGTTACGCATAGCAATTAAATTGGGCTTTCATATAATTCATGAACAAAAATAAGTGCAGTAGCAGATCCCTAATTAAAGTTTCCTCAATTCCTACCATACCAATATTAATATTCAACAATATTTTTCTATTTTGTAGACCAAGTGCAGATTTAATTCTCGTTGATAACACTCAAAAAAATTAATTTTTTTAAAATTAATATGAAGGATCTTTTAAGATTGTTTAAAGAGAAATTAATATCAAAATATATAAAAACTGACATAATAACACTAAATCGTAAATAAAAAAATATAATTTTCTGCCACATTACATTATTCATATATATCAGAACACTGGTGAACCAACTGCAGATGAGGAGCTAACCAAACTGTGTAAACTATTCCAATAGTCCCTATTCTCCACCGTAATAATCCCACTGCAGCTTTCCATATTTTTGGACTTCTCCACTCTCATCATCGACGAGTTCATCTTCATAACCCCACTATTACCCATAATGTCTTCCGAAAGTTCCTCCATTATATTCGCTATATCGTTTCCTGCCCTAAATGGATCCTCAAACCATGCACTCATATCAATGAAGTTAGGATCACTTGTCCCCTCGAATTCTTGCATTTTGTTGGCTCTATCAAGGTATTTCTCACCATTAAAGGAGAGTATTGAATCTTCAGGAACTTGAATATTTGCACCGGAATATGGAAACTTCAGTGTTGAGGTCGGTGACTCAAGAGTGCCGTGGCTGGCGAAGGAAAACATTCCAGCGACCAGACATTGCCAAGCTTTGAGCACGTCGATGCACTTTGGTCTAGCGGCCCTGGGAGCTACGGTTTTGTTGGTCAAGAGATGAGACGGATTTTGGGTAGGACTCGACACTAGTTTTGACCTCCGACCAACCAGCCTAGCTTCAGCCTCAAGGCGAGCGCTCTCCCACTGAGCCATGTGGCTTAAATTGGCGGCGTTTTTGCCTCCGCCTGCCGGAGAAACCATGGCATCGGCTTTCGGCTTGTGAGTCATGGGATCAATACCCATCTTGATTAGCCTTTTCTTGAGGTGTGTGTGCCAATGGTTCTTGATCTCATTATCAGTTCTCTTTGGCAAGTGAGTGGCAATAACCGACCATCTGTTGATGTTAACAGAAAAGTGTAAGAAACGCTGTTTCGATGATGATAAATTATAGTATTTTTTTTTTTTTTTTGGGTAGAACAGAAATTTACAGAAAATTTATTAATATCTTTCTATAGAAATTAAAAATTTATTAATAAATATTATATTAATATGAAAATTGATTGAAAAAAAAATTTAAGAAGAAAAACTGCACGCAACACTAACCTCTATTTATATTAGCACTGATATATAAAGATAGAATATTCATGGACAATGAAAATGGCTGCAAAAATATGAGAGATGATCATAAATTGATGTAAACTAGTGTTGTGGTTCTAATTATACAGACAAAAACTTATACAAAATGAAAAAGAGAGACTTAGGGAGACAACATCCAAGATTATGAACACAAGGCTGTCTTTGCTCACATGTAAAAGTCATCTTATTGATGCATGACGTGAATAACTATTTGTCTTTTGAATTTTTTCACATATATAATGCTCTCACTTTTACGTGAAGAAAGATCTAAAGGACAGAAAAAATGACGAGTACATTGCAAAACTTGATTCTTTCACTTTTTAATTACCTGTTTCCTAGAAGAGCATGGAGCTGAATAATGGTCCGTTCTTCCAGTAAAGTGAATTTTCCTCTCTTGATATCAGGCCTGAGGTAATTAATCCACCTCAGTCTACAGCTCTTCCCACATCTCTGGAGGCCTGTGCAAAACAAACCACAACTTTTAAAAGGAGAAAGAGATTTTCTAACTTTTACCCTAAAGATATAAATTAAGTTTCATTAATTATACTATTTGCAATTAAATCTGTACAAAATTTCCTATAGGATTCAAATAAAATAAAATATAAAAGGTTAAAACCCTAACATGATCTCTCAACTATTATTTGGACCCTTGAGTTGGTTTTTGAACTAAAAAAAAATCTAATTTAAAATTAATAGATTAAGTAATTCTTCTTATATTTAAGCTATATATATGTGAGAAAAATAAAAATTAAAATGTCTTACTTAACATTTAAAATGTCATAACTTCTTATGAAATTATGTATATACCCTTAAAGAATTATTCTTACATAAAAATAATTTATTAAGAATATTTAAATAATTTTATAAAGAATCTTAATATCTTAATAAATTACAAAAATATCCTAATTTTTTGCAATCCCTATGTATATATTGTTCATTTTTCAATGTGAGATTTTATTGTTTAACATAAACTTCATACCAGCTTTTTCAGGCAAGGCCCTCCAGCTTCCATGGCCGTGTTGTTGAATATAAGCAACGAGTTTTTGGTCTTCTTCCGCTGTCCAAGGTCCTTTCTTCTGCCCTTCCTTCTCACAGCATGCAGGCCGATGCATTTTGAAGCCAAGCAGAGCGATGAAAGAGAGATCTGTGCACAAGAAATGTGAAGCTTGAAAAGGAAAGCACTGACTAAGAAAGATTCAAGTTAGCCCAATTTATAAACATTAAAAAGCTAGGTAGTTATAAAATAATAAATACCATTAGGTGGCATATCTATAATTCTTGACCCATGTGCCATTAATCTCTCCATATTTCAATATGAAGTACTACTAAAGTTAGTGATCATAATTACATTCATTCATTACAAATGTACCCGGCTTCTTACACGAATTTGTATTACACCGCTTTTCAGTTTTAGGGCAAAAACTAACATTTAACCTCTTATCTTACAAAGTGGGTTGGTTTTAACCATTTACCTTATAATATGATATTTTTAGTCCTCTATCTTACAAATTTGGTAAGTTTTAGTTCTTTACCTTATAATATGACATTTTTAGCCTTTAATCTTACAAATTTGGTAGGTTTTAGCCCCTCACCTTACAAAGTTGGTAAGTTTTAACCCCCTCACCTTATATTATGACATTTTAACCCCTCACCTGTATGAATCGAAAAAAATAACTCCAATCTAATATTAGGTTATAACTTTCTGTTGGTTCTGTTAACTGACTGTTAACATCTGTTAGCATTTCGTTAAAAAAAACATAAAATTTAAATTCAATTTTATTTGTTAATTCCATTAACAGAATACTAACGAATGCTAATAGTCAACTGACAGAACTAACAAAACATTATAACCTAATGTTAAGTGAGAGCTTTTTTCTTCAATTCGTATAGATAAGGAGCTAAAAGTATCATAATATAAGGTGAGAGGTTGAAACCTACTAATTTTGTAATGTAAGGGGTTAAAACCTATTAACTTTGTAAGGAAAAGGGCTAAAAGTATCATATTATAAAGTTAGGGGCTAAAATCTACTAATTTTATAAGATGAGAAGCTAAATGTTGGTTTTAACCCAATTTTAGAGGGTGGATTTTCCCTTTCCCTTTCCCTTTCCCTTGCAACGGTAACCATTAAAAATGTTAAAAAAAAAATGGAGAAGACTTTGATTCACTCTATTTTAAGAAAAGGTAACAATTATAATTTAACCCATGTACTTTTCAAGTTTTTGAAATTACCCCCTCTACTTTATTTTGTAATTTTTTAATTCACATACTTTCATATTGAAATAAGTTGCCTTACTATTCCATTGAAATAAATCACCCCAAATTTAACAAATGATGTTATGACACATTACATTTCTATAGAAACCATTGTAAGCCTGTTACGTTCCTAATGATTTGGCATTTGTGGGTCTTGTTCATGTGACATGGATATTTTTTTCTTAGCTAAGCATAATTTGATGGCATGGCAAAAAAATATTGGTGACTTGGACAATTTGTTCAATGAAAAAGCAACCTTGATTTTTCTCTACTTTTAAATTAGGGATTGGGATCTAAAGTTCTTCCTCAAATTTAGCAAGCAATTCTTCTCCAAACTTGCTAATGTCATTGACCAAATTGTCCAAAGAAAATCACAACTCATGAATATTTTCCACAAAATTATTGAGATTCCAAAGCCAAGAACAACAAATTAAACAACTAATTAAATTTTACTTGAAATTGGACCTTGCACTTAATTCTCTAACTTTGGTTATAGATTTGCTCTTCTTTATCACTTTGATTATGCCAAATCCAAACCCTAGATCGACCACTGAATTAGAGAAAAGAAAAGAAAAACAAACACAAACAGATGAGAGGGAATCTCTAGAAAAAGGGGAACCCGAGAAAGGAAGAAATCAGAAAAGAGCCACTAATTTGGGATTTGGACATCCCTTTTATACAACCAAATAAATTCCTACCAAAATCTTAAGAAAATCAATAGACCTTCGGTTAGCTTCTACTCTACCTAAACCCACAACTAGAAATCCCTTTTTAAGGTCACATGAACTTGAGTTTGGATCCTCTAATTTGCAACAACAGTAGTTGTTGGACCATCTACTTTGTAGCGATGATGGTGACCCATGAATTACGTTGACAATTTTCAAGCTCCATGCAAAATGTACTTGTGGATCCTACCATATTATCGCTTGGTTCTCTTCTTCCTATCTCACGCGTGCCATACATCCCAAAATGAAGATTGTTGAAAATTTGAAGGCATGGATCAGTGATCTAAGGAAGGGGCTTAATGGATTTTAAACCCAATTAAATAAAGGATCACCAAATTTGAAGAACCTCAGATCCCTAATCCCTAATTTAAAGGTAGGGAAAAATTAAGGTAGCTTTATCATTGAGCAAATTGTCCATGTCACCAATATTTTGTCTTATCATCAAATTAGGTTCAGTTAAGAAAAAAATTATCCATATTACAAAAACAGGATTTATGAATGCCAAATCACTAAGAACCTAATAGGTTTGCAATGGTTTTCAAAAAAATGTAACATGTTATATGACATTATTTGTTAAATTTGAGATAATTTATTTTAATACAGAAACACGTGAGTTAAAAATTTACAAAATAAAATAAAAGGGATCACTTCAACAAACTGAAAAAGTACATGGACTTAAATTTCATTTTCACCTCCAAGAAAATGATTTCTAAAGAAGCGAAGTCATAAAATTCTAAGCGGCAGTGGCGAGATTGTTAATTTTTTGGCGCAAATTTCAAGGAAAGATATACCCAGCTTTAGCTAGCTTTTGAATTGATTATAAAAGCTCAAAACCCAACGCAAGTGTCTATATTTGAAATGTGGTCAGCCATAACTTGGAAGCTTTTCTTCCAGAGTTTTTTAACATAAAGCAACTTTTGAGACTTGTAAATTGTGATTGGTTATTATAGAACATTATAACCAATTATTGTAGATTTCAATTTTCAAGCACAGTTTTGAAGAAACGCTAAAAACCCGACGCAAGTGTCTATATTTGAAATGTGGTCAGCCATAACTTGGAAGCTTTTCTTCCAGAGTTTTTTAACATAAAGCAACTTTTGAGACTTGTAAATTGTAATTGGTTATTATAGAACATTATAACCAATTATTGTAGATTTCAATTTTCAAGCACAGTTTTGAAGAACATGAGCTCACAAATTTGGCTTAATTAATTTGATGTGCTCACCTAAAAATTTCTTCTTGAGAAAGAATTAACCAAACACACCCTGTAAGGCCATCTCCAGCATAGTGAGAGTCCGAAGAGACACCGCCCCACATTCGAGGCAGTCATGCCTATATTGTTTTTTTCTCTCATTTTTTTAAAAATACAAATTAATATAGTCAAATAAAATAATATTAATATAACTTTTAAAGAAATCTTATTTTGCTCTTATTATTTTTTTTTTTTTTGGTTTTCTGCCCGGTATCCGGGGCTTCGCCCCAACTACTCCGGACTCGACCAGCTGTAGCGCACCAGAATGATGGGTGGATCTCCGAACGAAAGCTGCTGCGTACACAATGTTTCAAATTCGAGACCTTGCTTAAATTAGAACAAACTGCTTGTCACTTGATCCAACCCCTCGTTGGTATTTTGCTCTTATTATATGTTAGAGAAGAAAATCTCATTTAAAATTTCTAAATGTCAAATAAAAA